CCCCCCCCCCCCCCCCCCCTCAAAAAAAAAAAAAAATCCATATCCATCTATTTATAAGCGGAGCGAACAGATGTATATCTCAATTGTATTCAGATGCTCATTATTGCTTTCAATTAAACTGAATGTTAGCAAAGTCGGTATCCAATTTACACCTCTAGCTGTATGTGTGCAGTCTGGATTCCTTCTATATATCTATTCCCTTTTATTGATGTGTTGAGCTTTAGTTCACGTTCTTTCAGTATTATCTTATTACTTATAGTTTTGCACAATCCCATAACTAAGCTTCTTTCATGATAAAATCTACATCTGACTGCATTTATCTCAGTTCATCAGAAGAAGAGGATGACAAAGAAAACATTGATCCTCATAAGTTCAGTATTGCCCACACGGACTCACCTCCTGAACATGAGCTTGCAAAAGCTTTTCTTGATGACGAGGCTGAAGAAGAAGATGACAGTGATCATGACCTACTGAGATTCCAGGAAAATGAAGAAGATGATGAAAGTGATGCAGATGAAGTGTTTGATGACCTTATTGCAACTGATTATAAAGAGGCACCAATGGATCGTGAAAAACGTAACGAGCTTCATCAGAAGTGGCTTGAGCAACAGGATGCAGTTGGAACAGACGATATTCTCCAAAGGTTGAAGTATGGTAAAAAACAAAGAGATCCAACCTTTCTCCAAGATGAGGATGATTATTTTGATGATGATGATGATGATAACAATGACGGAGATGATGATTTGGATGATTCTACATATGAAAAATCAGATGATCCATCTGCGATTGATGACGCTCGCCAGAACTCAAGAATGGCTAAACAAATGATGGCTCAAATGTTCACAGATGCACATGATTCTTATGTACCCTCTGATGAGGAAGACTCTGAGCAGACTCTCTTTCGCCAGCGTATTCTCAAGCAAACTGTAAGTTCATATTCTATCGGTTCTTATTCGTTTCATTTTGGATAAGGGACAATTAGTAATTTAGTTATATGCACTGTCCTTATGCCTCATGAAATTTTTAATGTTTCTGTAGGCTTAATACTTAAATTAATCTTATAAAATGCTTTACTACACATGTTCTTAGTCAATTCATATTTATATTTACTTCCCCCTCTCTCCTCTTGATATGTTAGAATCAGTTATTATTTTCTATCCTCTTCTAGGGTCTTGAGCAGTCTGGCTTTTCTTGAGAGTAGCTATTGGTTAAGTAAATATGGATATTGATAATTGGATATGAATTTATATCTATCCTTTTTAATGGACCACATTCTAAATTTGCTCATGCAAATTTTTATAACTGAAGCCAGATACATGTTTTTACCTTCTATGATATTGAGTCAAGCTTAATTTTGAGGGAATATAATCTTCTGACTACATTCAGGGCGAGTCTTCATTCATATCTCCAGTGGAAGATGAAAATTCAAGAGAATTTTTTGGTCTTATAAAGAAGCTGAATGTTGCTCCTATTACCAAGAAAAGGGGGAAAACCGTGACATGCAAGTTTCTTTGACTTAATTATTTAACATTGTTAACAGTGCTCTCTTTTGCTCGTGTTCAATTAAGTGTTTCTTAAAGTACTCATTCAATTTTTTTTGCCTCTGGACATATTGCAGCTAACTTTGATTCACTGATGATGGGTGCAAACAGCAATAGCTCTTCAAAGGTAAGCACAATGATGAATCCATGTTTGTGAATAATAACTACTTGCTGCTGTCACAATATCCGGTTAGTCAGTGTGATGAACATTACTATGTAGTTTTGGTTCATGTATGGAAATCCATACTGCTAGGACAACTAGCTAGCTCAGGTCTACTTGGATGATGGTGGATTACTGAAAATTTTTTATGATTTAAAAAAGGCTTAGAAATGCATTATCTTGAACTGGAAAACAAGATTTTTTGGATGATGGTGGATTACTGAAGATTTTTTAGGATTTAAAAAAAGGCTTAGAAATGAATTATCTTGAACCGGATACCAAGTGCTTTCGGCTGTTCAAGACTTCAAACCTACGTAACACATTTGAGGAATTCTTGATAAGCTTTCATGCAAGTTACTCATTATTCTCATCTTGAAACTGGGCATATTTAACCAGCGTTGATGAATTATAGATACTAAGGTTTTTCTCAAGAAACCTTTTTATCGATACTAAGCTCTGTCAAGTTTTCAATCTTTGCATCTTGAAGCTGGGCATATTTACACTGCATTTGACTTTTAAATTGCTGATGTTGCAGTCTTCTTTTCTCAATCGAACAACAAGTAATTCGCTACCATCTTTGCACAAGCAAACATCAACTACCGTGCGGGCATTCATATTTGGGCGTGATGACAGCAATAGCAGGGGTAGTATCACTGCATCTGAGAGTGTTCCAGATACGGTGAGAATGATCTTGCAACTTTTTTGCCGTATTAAGTTCAAACCTTTCCAAGTTACTAACGCAAGATACAGATGTCTAATTTTCCTTTTTTCTCATGGTATGATGTCTAATCTTCTCATCTATATCGCAAAAGAGTTAAATCACATGCGACTTACGTAGATGAATAGACAAATAAATGGAGAAAAAAAATGTATAGTTTTAATCTTTTTGATGTTAAAGTGATCAATTGAGCATAAATTCCTTATCTCATTCTCTTTTGAATGTTGTCGACGATGATCTCCGTTTCATATGCAACTAAACCTTACAGAATACAACAATAGTGCTTGAAGATGGAAAACCAATGTTCCTCCTTTACAGCATATTTTGATTAGTTTTGAAACAACTGTATATGTTTCAATTCATTGCTATGGTCTTCTGAACTTCAATGACTGTTTTTATTTTTCAGCATCCGAAAGAAAATCATACCTCAAGGGCTTCAAAGTTCAACAGCAGTTCACAGTCCAGATCAACTGCTAAAACAAAGACTGAAACCAGCTCCAGTTCAGCATCGGGTTCTTCTCTTTTTCAAATGCTGAGGCAATCATCTGTGCAGTTTGATAGACACTTGAATCAAAGCAAAGCTAGCCATCAAAAGATCACAGAGAGTCAAGCTGCCTATCAATTTTCAGCCTTTAAATTGCGAAAAAGAGCCACAAAAGTAGAATCCAGGGTATGATGCCTAAGAAGAGAACCAATTGAGAATATATCTTTTAGAATGGTTCATTACATTGTTTTTAGAGTAATAATTTATTACCATGTTTGTGGTAAACTTTATGTAGATTATTTTCTTTATTTTCCCATGCTTTTCAGTGCTAAAATTGCATGCATTACAGTAGTAATTCTCTGGAATATAGGTTATGCATAGTATCTCAATATTTACTGCTTATTAGGAAATTATTCACATAAGCCTTCTTGAATATCTCTGGTCTCACAGTGATTGCTTGGGGAAAGCCTTAACATATTTATAATTCTACAATTAAGGGACTAGTATATTTAGAAAATCTTTCATAAAAGGAATGTGCATAATGACTTCCAATTTACCCAAATCAATTTGAGATCTAAGAAGGTACATAGTATATTCAGTAAAAAAATTTCCTTGTCTTTTCAACATTAAGAAAACTTCATAAATTTAAAGCATATTTATTTCTTTTATTAAGTTTCAAGAGATATAAATGAAACTACAACTAATGAATTAAGAATTAACTTACTCATAAAAGAAGCGTGTGCAAGTTTTCAAACCAAATCATTTTAACAAGTAAAAGTAATTTTTAGCTACATAGTTTAATGTTCATGAACTATGAATTATTTTTCAAATAAATAGAGCGTAATATTCGATGTATACTAGTGAAGATTCAAAAAGTATTTGCGGTCCTATTCAAATTCAAAGAAATTCAGAGCGACAAAACTCGATTCGATTCGTTTCTAACCCTATTTATTAAAAGATTATTCTTTGAGAGTAACGAACTAACCAAATTTACAAAGTATTTAAGAAAAAAGAAATAAAGAAAGAACGTGAATGCCTCTTTACAATACACAGCAAATAACTCAAAATTTCCTTGAGATCATCTTTGATTCCTCTCAACAAAAGAGTTCCAAAAAAAAAAAAAAAACCCTGATAAAATTACTAATAAATGAACAAATAAAAAAAACTAAACAACCTAATCAAAGAGTAAGCACGTCTTATTCAACTACACGTATCAGAGCAAACCCTACATTAAAACCCTCCCTTCAACCATTCCTCATAATCCTCACCGTAACCAAACCCATTGCTTCCATTAGCGATAATAACACTATCACTAGTAAAAGGAAGAGTAGGAGGGGGAGGTGGCAAATACAACTGCCCCTGATTCTCCCCGAAATTACCAAAACACCCTTCGTGGTACGGAACCGGATTCCCCGCCATACAAAACTCAAAAGTAGTAGGCGGAGGAGCAATAATATGGCTCATCATCACCATCTCCACCTCCCTCTTCAAGCTCTCAAGCCTCATCTTCAACCACTCGAGCCCCTCCAATCCGACCCCGTCGAGCTGACCGTCTCCGAGCCAAACCTCCTTCATCACCCTCTCCAACCCCCCCTTCCTCTTCTTCTCCGCCTCGTACTTCGCTGTCAACGACGAATACCTCTCGTTGAGGCCCGAGACGTTCAATGTGACCCCTCTAGAAGTCGAGGTACTCTCCCTTGGCCCGTTGGCCCGGCCCATTAGGTACCGGTCAACGACGTAGTCGACGGAGGGGTGGCCGAACGAGAAGGGCTTGCCTGCCGGAGAGAAGACCAGGAGGTCAACGACGTAGTCGACGGAGGGGTGGCCGAACGAGAAGGGCTTGCCTGCCGGAGAGAAGACCAGGAGGCTGACTTGAGCGCCGCAGAGGATGGAGAGCTCGTTGGCTTTCTTGAAGAGGCCAGCGCGGCGCTTTGAGAAGCACACCTGGCGGGCTTCCTCGTTTTCGATGCGCTTGATTTCGATCTTCTGGCGGCCGATGCTCGGCTTCCTCTGCCTCTTGGTTGCCATAGTTTGAGAGGGGTTGAAGATTCAATGAGGAGATGAGTCTATATAGACAGAGATGGGATTGAGTATGATTTGATTACCTTATATAAATACGGGTTGATTGAAATTGAATCAATCATTTATGTTAATTAACATAATTTTTGGTAATTGATGTACGTGTGAAAGGTGTTCTTCCTTCAACGGAGAGGTTTGAGCTTGAATTTGTGCTTGTGCTTATGATTTGATTACCGTATTGTAAATATGGGTTGATTGAATTAATCAATTATGTTAATTAACATAAATTTTGGTAATTGATGTTAGATGGCCGTCAGCGTACTCTAGAAATATTCTTCTTTGAGAGGTAGGTAGGTTTGAGTGGTTGATTGGGGGGATATAAGTGTAATTTATGTTTAATTAATACAAATGATCCGTGCATTTGCACGGCTAACAACTAGCTAATAATGACGTCAGACACTTTTCCGGTCGCCGATGATCTTCACATGGCCCCTAAATGCTACAACTTGACTAACTTGTAATGATTAATAAGATTCGAGGGGCTAAGTAGAAATATTAGGGTCGTACTTCAAACGATTAAAGATTTAATAGACCGGTAATAAAAACTCCCTACGAGACTACTACGGGCTTTCGCCTATTCAAAAA